TGCTGCCTTGCACAATAACAAGCAAACTAGCAATATTTTGTACAAAATTGTTTTAGCTAGAGCCAGAAATCATGCTGATGACGGTGATCGATCTGGAAAAAGTACGCTTGCCAGGGACATTTCACCGCAAATGATCAATTTTACCGACCGTTGTATGCGGCAATGAAGCCGTATCCAGCACCGTCATGAATGCCACTGACGAACACCGTGAAGAAACCGTCCGCACTGAGCGCGTGTAAACCTTTGCTGGTGCTAGTAACCGCATAGAAAAATGACTCTTCATAGTACGGTATTGGGACCCAGGTCCAAACATAGTTCGAAATATCAAACAACATTGTCTCAGCTGCCTCCACATCCGCTATCACCTGAAATGTGCGAACCTTTACCTGGTGGAAATCGACATTCGGTAAGCCTTCCAAAGTCCCCAAGTAGCGACAAACAGTGCACAGTACTGCATTTTTTTTTTCTCGACTTCGTACTTTTGAAGAATTCAAAGTCACCACGTGATGAGAACGACGCGTATTTACTCTTATATGCCCCAAGTAATTGTGCACGTTAGAAACAGCTACGAATAAAAATTTTCGAACAAGGGTGAAACATCGGAGTGAAAAAAAACCATATGAATTGAGCAGATATTCTCTTGGGCACGGGTACTTTTGGACAAAATTAAAACTCTGAAAAAAACGAAGAATCGCTCCAGATATGACTCACTACAGCTCACTGAGGCAATCTCCTTGCCTATCTCGCTCTCTTGCCGAAACCCAAAACCTCCAATTATTTTGGATTGCAAACTTCAGATATGCACTGGCAGAAAAGCCAGAAAGATACCGTGATGAGGTTGTTGTCCGAAGGAACATAGAAGATTGCCGATCCCGTGACAAACTGTGACCAGGATACAGCCATGTCCAGGAATGAGGTGTGCATCATTTCTGGCACTCCATTGCCGCCGTACTTCAACACTTGCAGCATTGCGAAACTGCAATTGGAACGATTAGAGATGTCTTACGGAGAAAAGACCAGTGCAACGCTTGGTTCTCCTTTCTATTGAAGCACTGCTGGCAATTAAAAGAAACAGCAAGAACTGAAATATCACCACAATTCTTCTGACGGAATTATCACCACACGTTTACACTACAGAACTACCAAAAACATCTATCAATTCCAAAAATTCCACAAAGACACATCAGCTAAATCATGGAAAAACAACGGACACTACTATCTTTTTCAATCTAGCTAGGTAACTACAAACTTGAATCAGCCGTAAAATCACTGACTTCAGTCTCACATGCTTTGCGTTAATGCGAACATGAACTGAGGGCGTGAAGCTCTGGTCAGAAAGGAATTCTTTGGCTTCGATTGGAGTGTGACGCCTTCTAGCTGCAGAAACTCCACAGCAAGGACTACGAAATCTTGGCTATTGTTTACTGCGGAGGATGGAAAAGGAAATGCACCTCGAATTTATGCCAGCATTGAGACCAAACATAATTTTATGCAGCAGCAGTTTTTTGGACAGACGCCCAAATATATCCACTTTCTCATAACCACTTTCTCCGTACACGGAGAAAGGTGGAAGACACGTGGGAGGTCGCGTTACAACGTACTTCTCTGTTTCAAGCAGCATCGAAACGTGGTAGTCTATGGCGTTTTCACAACCTGTAATTTAATACTATAGGATGATGAGCGCTAGCTGACGTCTTACTAAGTGAAATGGTCGCTTGCAGTGGTCTGACGTTTTACTGAGTGGTCAGTCTGACCACTTTTAAATGACCGCTAAACGGCCATTTTTTAAAACAGTCTATTTGGAAGCTAAACAATAGCTGTTTGTCCGTTTGTGCAGTTCTAGTCACTTGCAGAATAGCTCAAAATTTATTAAAAAGATTCTCATGACCGCTATGGTATTTTCGGAAAAATGGCTCAAACGGCCCAAGCAACAATTACATGCTTTATCATAAAATATGCGCAGAAATGTTGCAGCTCGCATAACAAATGACATTCCGGTGTAAAATTTAAAAAAGAACGACTAAAAGAAGTGAATTCGATTTTACAAAAGAATTTGGTTCATTATTTCTCTCATCGAATAAGCATCTATGAAGAACTAGAAGTAGGGCAAACTTTTGTCGAGGAGCGGAGTAGGCATGTATGATCCCATATCAGTTTTGGGTCCAATTGATGAAGTTGGTAGCTTCTGAACAGAAACAAAAACCACGAAGGAAGCATTGGCTGTTGCTGATAATTCCAGTTGAACGGTTGTTTGTAAAGCCATTAACTGGCCGGTACCACGCTTAAATAAGCATTCAAGTTCTTTCCGAAGAACAATATTCGAGATTGTTTGAGAAAATGGCATTAGTCATTAACAAACTTGAAGTAAAAGATCCATGCTGAAGTTGAAAACCAAAAGGCAAACAATTTTTTTAAAACTGCTGGAAACATAGGCACCTGCAGTTAAACCGGTAACAACCCATGCCTATAAGAGCTATCAGGGCAGTCGAAGGCTCCGTCTTTCAAAACTTAAAAAAAGTAAGCAGTACGCAGCGGTGCTAATTCACTTTCGGAATAAACCGGCGAACTGTAAAGTTGATTGGCTCGCTCTGAAGAGAAGAACATCTTCAAGTTATTCAATTACTGGCGATGCGCACCACATGAGTCGGTGTAACCATGCGTTTTTGCACTATTTCGTGCTGCAGCAGGGTCGAAAGGAATTCCGGTAGCTATAATTTACGAAATCCTGGCTCTCGAAGTTCAGGAAGTTAATTGTGCCGCTATGTAGCATGTAGTTGTAAATGTCGGCTTCAGTGACTCGACAAACGGAAAGTTGCTGGCGCGCAAAAAAGACCCAGTAACAGCTGAATTTGAAATTTTTTAGTCGCACATGAGCAGAGGGCTTTCTTCTTTCCCGAGTTAGCAAATTTCCCACCAAATTTTCCAGTTGTCCCCATGTAAGGTCTTGACGGTTCTAAAAAGCTAAATTCGAAACGTTTTGGTTACATATGAGTGGGGAAAATTCTCCTGCATTTTCAGCTCTCTAGCTTTTCTCGTACCCGAATTAGCAATTTTCCGTCAAAACTTCCATGTGTCGACACGTGTGACTTAGGTGTGCGTAACAGTTATTGTCACAATCCTGGAGTCGCACATGAACAGGGAACACACTGGAAAAAATCCAGCTTCAAAGCTTGCGTAGTAGAAATACCCGGACAGATGAACACACACATACACAACAGTTAAGTTCATCACAACATTCGTTTTTGTGCGTTTTTGCTATGCAGCTCTAACCGCACATTATCGAGAGGGCGTCTGCGTGTGTGTTCGGAAGCGAGTGAACTTTGTCACCCACTTTATCTCAGCAACCGGGAAAGCTGGGAAGCTGAAATTTTGGATACATATTCCTTCCTCGTGTGTCATCTTTTCGTTTTAAAATTTCCGTTCGTACACGCTTAGACCCCGCGGAAACCCGAAAAAAAAGCCCGGGTTGCTGTCTGTTGCAGCGTTCATCCAGCCTGGGTTGCTGCCTGTTGCAGCGTTCCAGCGCGTCGAAAAAACCGAGACTCTTCACCACACTTCTGTGAGCAGCATAGTCTATAAAATAGGGGCGAAGCTTCACTTGAAGCAAGCCCTCTCCAACCAGCTTCAAGTCACAACTTCTCTTCATCGACTGTGGCAGCTTCCCGAGAAAGCGTGGCGCCAGCGACTTACGTGATCGTACAGGTATTTTTATAAGCAACATGTGATAGGTGAATTTGAAGCCTCAGTGCAGTTCACAAAGATATCGTTGCGAAACTTCAGCTTTCTATCTTTCTGGGTTCCGAAACCATTCCCCTGCCAAAGCTTTTTCACAGTTTTTTTCAAGCGGCTGCAATGACACCGCGAAAGTTGTTTTCAGGTTGCATAGACAATACACAGGCAGGGAACATGCTCGTAGAATTTCAGCTTTCTAGTTTTGCTGCTGCAAAGTTAAAAGTGGATGAAAATGTTCATGAACGCAAACACACACTCACAGCCCATCAAACCTCTTAACAATGTGGCTTTTACATTTGCTTAATTATGCAGAAATGCATGAAATGCTTTGCTGCACTCACCTGTGTCGTGAATGTTTTTTGATAAAAGGCGTCACCTACATTACCAATCAAATCTATTTTCACCAGTTCGGAGCCAACAGGTATGAAATATACAGTGGTCATTCCGCCCTTCGCAGGCGGAGGGGCTGCGAATACGTATGTATCACTAGCCATAGCCAGCGGCATTACTGTAAATAAATAGTTATTGTGCACAAATTTCTTAAGGACTCATAAGAAAACGTAGGCTGGAACGCACCAGGCGAGCCGGAGCGATCATGCGTTTTTGCACAAAACTTGA